GATGCCGACTTGCCCCCAACAGAGGAAGGCAACGAGCGGCACGAGTTGGATCGGGATGGCACGGCCTTTCCACCAACTCGCAAGGGTGCTGCCACGGGTCGGGCTGGGCGAGTCGATGGCTTCGGTCGGGCAGTTGAGGGCGAAGGGGTTGTTTCGGAGCTACCAAGGCTCAGGGAAGAGCTTGCAAGTGCACGATTAATGGTCGGGATTGTCGACGAAGACGGGGTCTGGGCCGGATTCGCCTTTGGGCTTGAGGACTTGCTTCGTCTGATCGACTTTGCGGGGGGGCCCTCAGTCGCTTCATCCTTCACTCGCTTCCTCTGGAGCTGAGCATTCAGCTGATCATCGATCTTCTTCAGCTGCTCCAGAAGGTTTGCCTTCTCCTGCTGCAAGAGATCATTGTCCGAATCCCCATCGGAGTCGCAACCAGCACCGGTGCGTGGAGGGGTCTTCTTCGCTCCATCCTATGTTTGACTGAGCAAGCCCCGAGAGAGATAGAGAAACAGGGGAGCTGGATACCTACCTACCTACACATACATATGTACATAAACACATACCTACATATGTGCATATATATATACACATACATACATACATACATGCATGCATACATACATACATACATACATAAATATTTACATGGCTACCTGCTATCTATAAATCTACAAATGAAGTGTGCATAGAATCAGAGAGAGAGAGAGAGAGAGAGAGAGAGAGAGAGAGAGAGAGAGAGAGAGAGAGAGAGAGAGAGAGAGAGAGAGAGAGAGAGAGAGAGAGTGAGAGGGCGAGGGAGAGAAGGGAGAGCGAGAGATATACACATATATATATATACACATATAAACATATGCTTATATTAACTATGAAGTAGACAGAATGATTCATAAATGAAACACTATAGAAGACTCCAAGCGACGGCGGCACATGTTGTCATACATTTAGTGTTTCAACAAAATGCAGTCCTTGCTCTTGGAAGGTGCTTTGGGCGTCCGGGCCTTTTTCCCTCGGGAGGCACTTGGGGAGGGATCTTGAGGTGGCTCGGCCGTCTCCGGCTGTGTCGCAGGAAAGAGGCTTTCGGCTAGTGTGGTAGGAGTAGACCCAGCTGCAGAGTCATTCTCCACTGCATCAAACCTCGACTCTAGGCTTTGCGGGGCGAAGCGGTGATCGTGTTGTGCATGACCACCAAGCCCCACCTGGGCTACCCAAACATAGCCCCAGCAACCCTTGCAGAACTCGAAGCATCTTGAGGTTTAGGGGTTCGGATTGTAAAACTGAGGACAGGTGGTTTATGGTGATGCTGAGAACATATACAATATCAAGGATTCGCGGGGCTTTATAAGGGCTTTAGGAGGGGCTTTATAACAAGGCTTTGTGGGTCCTTAAGGTTTTAATTATTGTTGCTTTGGAATTGGAGCAGTGCGGGTTCCTGGCTTTAGTAGTTTGGCGAAACAGAGACTCGGGGGTTTTAGGGTTTTGGGGGACTATAAGGCTTTAAAGGAACAACCCGAAGCCACGGAACCCTCTCGGAGGTGGTTGCAGATCGCCTCTTCTTCGGCGGCGTGGTTGCACCAGCCGGGCTCCCCAGCTCCTTCAGAAGTTGCTGCAAGTCCTGCAGGAGGATATGTATATGTGTATACATATGCACATGTATTATAGAGATTTAAAAGCGGCTGAACAAGAAAACCCATATGTGGCAGCTGCCGGTGTGTCCTGCAGTTCACTCTCCAAGCCTTCATCCGTTACCTCCTTCTTGCAAGCCACTGCACGAGCCATGGGCGGTGAGGCTTTCTTGTTGGCCTTCACCATCCTAAAACTAGCGGCTGGGCCTCCGGTGGCCCCACAACAAAATTATATGTGCTCGATCATGAGACATCACCCAGCACATGAGTCACAGTCTGCACACCTATAGACAGCATGACAGGGATTGAATATTCTGGGATGCATTTCTGAAAAGTGGCCTCTTTGCAAAATGTGTCCGGTTACGGCTTCTTGTTGGGATTTTATTGGGATAGCATTACGGCTTTTTACGGCTTGATGTTGGGATTATGTTGGGATTTTACGCTTTCGGTACGCCCTACGGCTTTTTTACGGCTCATTACGGTTTCGGCATGCGACCTCCCTATCCCGATAAATCCCAACATAATGTTGACATTTTGTTGGGATACGGTTACGGCCTTGTGGGTTCTGCAAAAAAAACAATTTCCGAAGTGCAACAGAAGAGATTCAGCCCCACTACAAGCGAAGATAGCCCCCAAAAAAGAATCACAACCGACATTCCCTGAACCCGCAAACATCGCCCGAATGGCAAGCCACTCCCGAAATATGGAACAAATCAGCCTTTCTTCGAACTCAGAAATCTGACCTGTGGCTAGAACAGCACGACAGCTTGCGTACGTGGAATCATCCCAAAACTAGGCAGCAAATTATTTCAGCTATATGACAACCACTATAATGGTCGTTCCTAGAAATAGATGGGACAGGATGATCCATAGATGCACGAATTAAAAAGCAGGGCTTGCGTGCAGCCCAGAGCGAGCCTCCGAGCCCGGGGCACAAACTTAGCCAACCCTGTTTAAAACCCCTATGTAGACCACAGCTATACACCCGCCCGGCCGAAACAACCGCCAAACGAACCATGCCGGTATAAGTGCCCTACACCACCACTAAAAAACCAACCTCTCAGCCAGGTCTGACGAATCTCGGCTGCCTGCAGCGAGCCCATTTGGGCTGGGCGAACCCTAAGACACCCTTAAGTGTTAAATCCAGCTAGGTTTGCATTTAGGGGTTCTTAGGGATCAGGTCCCCTTGTTTTGAGATTGGCCTGGAATTCTTGATGTGTCTGTGGTGTTGCAACTAGCAGACTGCCTGCTAGTCTAACTACAGCTATACTGAACTAATAGAAGGGCCGGAAGATCGCCTAATACGAGCACATAGGCGAGCCTAGTAATATTATCGACATCCCGACGAACCCTACCTCGCTAGCCTCCATTTATAAACCTTACAGACACCCCTTCAATGGTCGGGCCTCGGGTTCGGGGCTTTAGTTTTGGACTTCTGGAAGAGAGGTATTTAATTCTAGGACAGGGACACCTCAAAGGAGGGAGTCAGGGTTGGGTAAGGCTTCCATGTTTTGGTTGTCGACCATCGATCCACCTTACTACCCTAGAGAGAAGCAAATCCCGCCATATGATATATTAATGATATATTATAAGGAGCTACAGGGCCGGAGGAGGTACCGTAACGTATCCTATACATAGATTCTGTTGATAACCCCAACCTAGCCTATGATGAAGTATGTAAAGCAAACCAGTCAGTGTGGAAACGGTCCAAGGCAGCTTATGTACTTGAATAGGTCTATGTACATATGAAGTTACATCCTCTCCCTGTCTCCATCACTCTCTTTATCCCTCTATCTCCTCTCTCTCTCTCTCTCTCTCTCTCTCTCTCTCTCTCTCTCTCTCTCTCTCTCTCTCTCTCTCTCTCTCTCTCTCTCTCTCTCTCTCTCTATATATATATATATATGTAGATACACATGCTCATGTGTACACAGACACACACAGACATATACACATGTATATGTAACTGTAAGTGTATATGTGCACATACATGCATATATATATATGCAAGCACATAGACACAAGTGCATGTGTGTATGCTCCTTCATTGACAATAAGCAACTGCATCGAACAAAAATTCTTCGCACTACCAAATCACCAACAATTACAATACACAACAGCGTGCAGCCTCAACTCTCCGAAAGGAAACATCGTCGATTGTACTTAGTAGAAGCTGTAGTACTGCCTAGTGTTGCCAACCTCAGTCTACATTTATAACACCGCACAACCTGAAAGACCGATCGATTCCTTGGCGAGCTGGGCCCGGGAGGGCTTCCAAAGCCTGTGGGGATCGTTGTTCGGGTTTCGAGCTTTGGGTTGTGGGGCCGGAACCTGTGGGTTGGAATGTATATAAACTTTGTTGGGGCTTATGATAGGGCGGTGATTGTGTCAAATGCCGAAAGAGTGCAGGATCAGTGTTCGAGGTTTGGGTTTCGATCAGGCTTATAGTGGTCTAGGGTTAGCAGGGCACCATCTTTTTACTTGATAAGCCCAGGCAGGCACTCGGGCCTAAGGCAAAGGATGAAGAGCATGCGGTTCGTAGGGATTTAGGCAGAGGCCTACTCTAGAGTCCTAGGGGTCACGATAGAGACATCTGATTGAACTGAAACCCAGCCGGAAAAGTGGAAGGGAAAGCCAGCAGCAGGCACAGGAACCTGACAAGAACCCAATCTCCGACAATCCTCAGCTTCCCAAAGCCGGGCCTTTCGCAGATCCAGCACTCGGCGGGCTCGCACGAATAAGGCTGTGTATCCGGCGGCTGAGAATGGGAGAATCTAGATTCTAGATGCGTGTGTATTCTGCTTACACCTAGAGGATGATTACATCGAACATATATCCTGCATTCGATGTGTGTTCAGAATGACTAGCGAGTTTCTATGGCCGATTTTTGAGTTGGCTACAGCAACACAGAGATTCGGCGATGTAATGCTCAGAATACAGCTGCCCGGGCAGCACCATTAACCCTGCAACTAGCCGGGTGCACCCTTGGTCTCCTTGACGATGCCCCGGTTGCTGCCAGAAGTTCTTGTCTGAATAATGCGACGAACCGCCACCGTAGGCCTGCGAAGGGGCCGGCCCATAGGGAAAAATTGTAGTTGGTGTTCATAGAGCTAACTCTGCCGAGGATACGACTACTTGTGACTTCAACGACAAGCAGCTGATTGCGAGGAGACGGCGGGCTTGGAAGTGTTCTTTTGTCCAAGCAGGGCTCAGGGTCTCGAACATCATGCGAAGCACACGAAATTGGCCTTCGCTTCGACCATGCAGGTAGGAGGCTTGAGAGGTACACAGCATGAACTCTGGTATTAGATAGACTACGAAGCGAAACCGCCTAGGTATGCAACCTCTCCTCTATCCTCCCCCTGGGCTCCCAGTTGTAAAACTCGTTCAGGCCCCCTCTCCCTCGCCGGGAGCATCGTACAAAAGGGCCTTGGAAACCTGAAACTTCGCGAATGCATCGTTCTCGTCGAAACCATTCAGAAGATCAAGAGCCTCAGGTAGAAGCCGTCAGATCTATAGAGTCGCTAGCTCTTGCCAGGAGATACTCAAACCCGTGATCGCATGCAAAGTTCTAAAACCCCAGCAAAGACACGAGCTGCTTGATGGGCAAGAAGTTGGACTTCACATCCACCTTTGAGGATCCACAGTAGGCCACCTTAGCCGCTGTTAGCAATGAAGTGCCATCCGAAGTATGTTTGCAAGGAGTGCTTGAATTGACATCAGCTCAGGCACCTGGTTCGTGTCCTCCTGGTTTACCACCAAGAGCCCAAAGCCACTTCGAGACCAGTAGGCCATAATCTTATGGGTGGCTTTCGGGGTGCGATTGTACTCGTGGATGAAAGCTTTGATCTCGAGCTCTTCCTACCGTGCTTACACATCAGACGACATCACAGAACCATATATGCTCATGATTGTGCTCTGGATTCAAACTCCACAAACGGTCCTCGGTGCGTGTCCCTGGCGGCTTCTCCTTTTTGTTCTTGGGTTCTTTCGGCGCTTTCTCCTTTCCCTTCGCCTTTGCTTTCGCTTTCGGTATGCCTGCTGCTTTCGCCTTCGCTTTGGCCTTTGCTTTCGCCTTGGGGCGTGGGGCTTCTGGCTGCTCCTCCTTCTCCTTGTCTCCATCCCACTTCGTATCGTCCGTTGACTTTGAAATCATAGCAGATGGCCTTTTCAGGATCTTGGGGGTCTTCGTCTTCTTCTTCTTCTTGGGCGGACATTTCGTTTCGCCCCCATCCTCATCCCACTCCTGTTCCTCCCCATCCTCAGCCCACTCCTCCTGTCCCCACTCACTCCAATCCTCTTGGTGATTCTCCTCCGAATCTGGTCCCTTGGAGCCCGAAGCTTTAGCCGCTTTAGCCTTAGCCTTGCCTTTGGCCCGTGCCTTATCCTTCTTGCGTTGCTGCAAAGCCAACTGATCAAGACGGTCCACGACCTAAGCTCGAATGCCAAGCCTAAGCTCATGCTGCATCCACCACTGTTCATGTGAGACGAGTTGCAGGAGCCATCTCCTGCTGTACCACCTGGGTCTCCTCAACATCCATCGGCGATCCTCAAGGGACTATAATTTGAAGGGTATGAACATATAGGTTTTATACTGGTCATATAATGTATGTATGGGTAAATATGGATATATCGCAGTGTATGCATAGAGACACTACATAGGTATCTGTATATCCACATAGATATATATATATATATATATATATATATACATATATACATATACACACATATATACATATATGAATATATATGTATAGGTGTGTGTGTGTGTGCGTGTTCGTCTACTTCTGAGTCTATGTGTTTCTCTCTGAGCATGCTTTCGTTTGTCTCAGCTGTTGTGACAGAGTGAGCCAATGGAGTGAGACTGCATGTGTGTATATGTGTGCATGTGATAGTCGCGGCGTGTGTGTGTGTGTGTGTGGTGTGTGTGTGTGTGAGGGTATGTCTGGGTGCGGCTTCATATCCTTACAGCTAGCCGCTAGCACCGTTATAGAGACTAAGCAGTGCCATGTTCTGGGTCTCGTGATGAGGCTTTGGCAGTTTTATCTGTGCACTGACCCTTGTTATGTGCCAAATGCATGTGTAGGTGTATTGGTGTGTAACTATGCATTCATGCACATAGACAGTATGCACGAATGCAGGCATGGTTGGAAAGATGTATGTGTGTATGGCGTCGCATGTTATGGGGTGGAGTGCTATTGTATGGTATGGCAGGGTATGATATGGCACGGTATGGTGTGCATGACTTAGTGTGTGTTTAATGTATGTGTGTACAATAGATTGGACTGATTATGTATGTAGGTCTGGATATTTGTATTTATTTGCATTGAATGAATGAGTGAATGTATGTATGTGAGTGGGTGTGCGTGAATGAGTGGATGGATTGGTCTAGTCTGTCTGTCTGTGTGGGGGTGTGTGTGTCTGTGCATATTAACGGTTCCGTATATGTATGTGCACATATACTGCTTTATATATATATATGTATGTATGTATAGAAACCACGAAGATACACACTACGGGATGAATATGTGTGCATCCCTGCATGTAGTGTTTCTGTATGCTAAACCTGTAATTATACATGATTGATCACACACATGTGCCTGTGTGTGTCTCTGTTGATATAGATATATCTACACAGCTGTATCTAAGCAGGCATGTTGCATGCACGTGTGTGCATGTGCGTGTTTCTGGGTTTGTGGGAGGCATGACTATATGCTACTTATGTACCCGAAGAAGAAATTAATTTGCTTTCATTGTAATTTCACGAAGCCCTACTCAACGATGAATCTAGCCCCGAATTTCGAACCAAGAAACCATTTTGAATCGGCTGGGGCCCGGGTTCTTCCGGGGCAGCAACAGTAGCAGCAGCGGAATGCTTCCTCTCCTCGAGCCTGGGCTAGGAAGAAACGAACCGAATCCATCCGAGCGAACCCCAAGAATGTAGGAATACCACATGTGGTTTGACACTCAAATACAAAGGCGAGGCACATTGTTCGGATGTTGGCAATGCGATTCTCCAACATACGGCGTTTGGCTTGAGAGGCAGCTTCCATGCCACTGATACACACACAGTCATTAGCATCATCCTCATCGTTAGCAGGATGCGGCTTGCTTCGGCCTGGCTTGGACTTCGCTGCAGTAGCAACCGAAAGCTTTGCGACCGGTTCCGGGGCATCACCCCCATCATTCGATTCAGGCTCAAACGGCTCCAAATCAGGCTCATGCTCCGGGTCCAACTCCGGATACTCAGCCTCGCATCGGAACAAGTACAATCCCAAGCCTACAAGTGCAACCTTTGGTGGATCGCACGACGAAAACAGGCCTTGACTCCGAAGCAGGAGACGATGTGGCGATAGGCCAAATCCTGGGTTATTGGAAAGCTTTGCATGGAGCTAGCTATCTACCAAACGTGAATGCTTTTGTGAATCCTGAAACCTTTATGCTATCGAGTTTCCCGGGCTGATCTGTCGCTCTGAAACTGCTTCTTGCACATGGACAACAAACTCTTCATGTGCTTCGCATCCGTGTGGCATACAGCTGCTACTGCATCCGGCAAACGAAACTCAGCAGGAAGTTTCGGCGGTCGACCTGCTGCTGCAGCCTTCCGCTTCTCCTTAGACTCGTAGTACTTGTACCAAAGGGCAGACAGCTCCTGAGCAATGGCCTCGACAGACGGGATTTTCAAGCTCCTGGCCGCCCTCATCTGAACCATGACGGGCTTGAGAAACATATCATTGGCGACAGCTGTTGATTGCATACAGATGGGAACCTTTTCCCCCTCTGGAGGCACAATCAAGCCCTTGGCCCCTTCCTCCATCAATCGTTCTTTGACATCTGGATTCACAAGCCATGATACACTCAAACCCGCAAGTTCGACTTCGTGAACCTCGCGAGCCATGGCCACACAGGTGGCAAATCCACTATGGCCCAAAAATCTGATCTGAAATGCAGCAGATCGACAAGCAGCAACGGCAACAAGACTGCTTGCGCCCTTCCACACAAGAAGCTTGCAGGGGTGGGGCACACCTGTATCTCGGAGCCATCGCCGCCCCATGGTCGAGTCAATGGTTGGGCGGCTGCCCATTGCAAATGTTGTTGTGTGGATGTTTGAAGCATGCTTGCTTTCCAGAGCGATATTGCCGAACTGCCGTACTGATCTGCCTATATTTATGAACCGGCGGATGAAAACCATCCTAATGACCCCCTATGAATCCCTAATGACCCTATATGAATCCCGAAACGAAAACCCAGACAGCCTCGTGAAATCTTGATCCATATCGCCGGCGTGGCGATAGAAGGCTTTCTGGGACCTGAAGCATGCGGGTATCTTTGATGGGTCGGGCTGAGATTGGTTTCGTATGAGTCGGGCATCCAGGGAGATTTCAACAAGATATATATACCTATTCCGGAAGCCAATCCTAAAATCCGACCGCTTTCACTACATCGAAAAAAACAATTTCAAAACCGAATTACGGCCGCTTTACGGGGAAATCCAGATTCCACTAAGAGGATGGATTAAAGTGTCCGCTGGGATCTCCAGGTATACCTTAAGGACGAAATGATCCCTAAAAGGGTTTAAAGTTCATATACCATATAGGGATTCATAGTATATGGGTATAGGGCCTCTACTTTTAAGGGTCATTTGGTCCTTCAGGTAGGAACAGCAGCCGTGTTCGTCACGACTGGCCCAGCGAACAGGTCCGTGAAGCTGACAGCTGCACGAAAGTCAAGCACGGCAGTTCAGTACGCACGGAAAACATGAGGCCTGAGCGCTTTGCGGGGCTTGCTTGATTGCAGAACAAGGTAAGCAAACGTGTAGAACATTTGGTGCAAGCATATGTGACCATATTTCCTCGGAGGGTTTCATCGGAAGGTAAACCGACTCGACTGAACATGTTATTGTCTTTACATTGTGTCTCCGCAAGCGTATCATCCTGCAGCCCTGAAGCTTGAAGCCTTTAAGCCTTGAGCACACCTCCCGAGAACTACCATAACCCCCATACCCTGGAGCCCGAAAGATGATGAAGCCCTACACCTCTGATCTCTTCGCGCGATGGTAAGAAACAGCAACAACCAACAGGCAACATGTGCGAATGTTCTAATCCGAAGGTGCGAAACTTAAATCCGGGCCTCTGCCAGGCAGCGATGGCGCCAACCAGCGATTGGCATCTGAGTTCCGATGCCCAGTCGGAGTGGGTTGGGGAACACTGTGCCTTATAGTGACTTCATGTACACGAATTAAGGTTATAGTTTGTCTCGTGACGGGGGGCTTAATGACTGTGTTGCGGGCTCCTTTGTTTGAAGATTGGTGACCATACCTCTCTTCTTTTGCGTATACAGACATGTAGCAGTCCCAATTCCGAGATCTTCAGCGTCTATTTGAAGAAGTTTTCGTTTAGATTTGTTTGGAGCTAAAGTTTTAGGTTAAGGTCCTTGGGTTTAGCCTGTAGTCAGGTTTCGAGCTTGGGATATGTGGCTTTGAGTTTAGCTCGGGGCTTCGGGTTTATAGGGTTAAGGGATTTAAGGTTTAGGGTGTTGGCATCCATGCCACAGAGTACTGTACGGTTGAACCAAGTATAGAGGCATTGGGAAACTTGGAAACTTGCCTCTCGGCATAGATTGAGGAAGCTCAGGTGGTTCCACACGACGGTCTCTTAGTTTGAAGATGCATGAGTGCTGCAACTAGTTGCAGTTTTTGTGTCCCAAGGTACCCAAGCTAAGCATGCGACATGCCTGTCGCATCACGCATTTCGAACACGTGTTCCCCGTCGAGTCCTGGCAGGCTTTCAGGCCGTTGCATTTTGCACCTGGCTGTTCCAGGACCCTCCTTGTACCCTCAAATAGGGGTATATGGTCCCAAATAAGGGGCATTTAGGGTCTAATAGAGGGTAGATGGAGGGTCTAGGTTGCACAGGCATGAACTGACCATTTGCCCAGTTGCCTGAGCTGCAGCGAGGGCTTGAACCTTTTCTTGTAAGCCAGGAATTAGGCTAACTGCACCAAGGGTTCCCACAATTTGTGAGATCTGCCTTTCGTGCCGAGCCGCGCGAATGGCGGAGAGAACGGCAGCAGATTGTCATTTTGAGATCCTGAAGGGCTTCGTGAAGCTCTCAGACTTGGCCGGACTGGAGAAATTCCACAGCACTAGTTTGTGGCTATGGTTTTAATGAAGAGGTTGTACGCAAGCAAGACATAGCTGCAACGGTCTAGTAGTAGTAGTAGTAGTAGTAGTAGTAGTAGTAGTAGTAGTAGTAGTAGTAGCGGTAGTAGGAGAGGTAGTAGTAGTAGTTAGTAGTAGTAGTAGTAGTAGTAGTAGTAGTAGTAGTAGTAGTAGTAGTAGTAGTAGTAGTAGTAGTAGTAGGAGTGGTAGTAGTAGTGGTAGTAGTAGTAGTAGTAGTAGTAGTAGCAGTAATAGTTGTAGTAGTGTGTAGTACTCACGACAGCAGTGGCAGTAGCCGAAGTCGTCGTCGTCCTCGCCGGAGTAGTCGTGCTAGTAGTAGTCGTCGTAGTATAGTATGTACAAGAGTACTGGCTGAGACGAGAATAACATGCACAGAAGCGTGAATAGCTACAGTAATATAATCGGTTCACATAGTAAAGACAACAAAACACACAGTAGCAGAAGTATCTCAACAGTGGAGCACCTCATCGTAGCAACCAGCAGGGTAATTAGTGCTGATAGTTTGAACAGCAGTGTTGCAGGCGAGAGTAGGAAGAGTATGGTGAATGTTGAGAAGCAGCATCGTCGAGGCGACGACTTTGATATCGAACCTGCCAGAGGCCACATCGATGGTGAGGAGTAGAATCACGAGCATCCTTCGCATATTCAGCAGCATAGCCAAGGCCATGCCAGACGCACCACTATATCAACATATGGACCTATTGACAATCAGCACTTCCCTGCTCAAGTATTTATTAAAAATGGAAAGTGGCTGCACAGAACGGGTCCTTTTCGCCCAGCTTCGGCGTTCGTCATCATCAGCATCGTCATCATCATCATCATCGTTGTCGTCATCGTCATCGGCAGCATCACCATCATCATCGTCATCATTGTCATCACCATCACGATTATCAGCAGGCACCCTGTGACATCCGGAATGTCGTCCTCATTCTACTGATCCTGCTGTCCTTCTTTGTGGCAGTGATCGTGAAACTGAGGCCAGTGAACCCAACAGCTACTGCAGCCCCAACATACTACAGGAACGCCCCTACGTACAACAGCAACCACTACGGGAGTGTTTGCTCTGTGCAAGGTAGACGGACGTCAGACAAGTTAATGGTTAGCCGAATAGCAGTCGGAGCTAGTGGCGGAAGCACGTTTTGGGCCAACATAGGCGCATGGGGCTGCGTTTCAGGTCGGCGCATTGAGGACATGGCTTTTCTCATGAAAACCGAGAAACTTCGAACCCCGCTCCCAACTGGACAAGCGGAGTTCGACTTGCAGCAAGTGTTGCCGAATACAGGTTCAGAGATTTTGCTCGTCGTGATCACTCGGACGACCACGTCATCTAGTAGAGGTGCTACAATTGCTACAACTCTTAGATTCATTGGCACTCTCAGTGTTCCCTTTCTGTAGACTAACCAAAATTCAGTCAGCTTATGTAAACGACTGTGCCCGTTTCGAAGTAAACACCCGCACACTCGGCCAACCAAGGAAGTTCGCACCGCCATGCTTTCCAGTGGTCGCGAGCCAGTGACGGGGAATTGCCACTGCTGTTTGTGGCATTTCGGACGGGCATCCTGACGCCATCAGATGATATCAAGAAGCGATGCGTCCAGACTATCGAGTGGTTGATCAAAGCTGGAGCGGATCCGCTTCTCCGATTGCCGCCGACGGAGCGCTACAGCGTAAGGTTCTTCACATCGAAACAGGCTCAGAGACAGAACGACGAGTCCAACGCGGTTGTTGTGCAATCGGGTGGACAGAGCCTTCTTTCCTTTTGCTTTGCACTTCTCGAGATGGTTGAGGGCAAGGTCGATCACAATTGTTATGCACATGTGACTGCCTACGTCAGAGACGTCGTATCCACAATCTCCCGACAGGAGGGCCGGCGGACGAAAATCGAAGTAGACCAAAGTGTAATCGACCGTTGGGAAGCTATCAGAAGCATGACTGCCACCCACAACGTCACTTTTGATGCTGCCGATGGCCCAGTAACAGCACACGATATTGCTCTCATGGCGACGTCACCAGTTCTGTCGGCAATGCTCCAGTCCTGCATGACAGAAGGCGCTGGAAAGCGTATTCAAGTCAAAGATTCTTCCGCCTCGGGTGTGTCCCTTAGAACCCCAATACCCAACCTTTAGACTTTTTGGGTTCTTATATAGTTTAGTAGGAATCGGAAAGTTTAACCTTTGATTTCTGTGGCTTATTGCGGAGTAAGGTCCCTGTTCTTGGACCTTGTGTACACGAGCTCCACATGCAGTGAAGTTGAGTACAAGACCGCGCTTGAAGCCATGGACCTCGCCCATCGCTGGCAGGTGGAGGGCGTGGTGCGCGTGCTCGAGGAGATCCTACAAGGAATCTCTGGGGCTCCAGTTACTTATTAAGTCGTAGGTTGTGTCTATAAGGGTTACTATAAGGGATCTATAAGGGTTACTATAACGGGGCCTCAAAAATTACCAATACTATTTGGGGGTTCCTTAATATATTGATGGTATAAAGGGCACCAAAACCCTATTCTAACTATTAAGGCCCCCCATTTTACAAGGAATGATCACCGATTCCAACTTCGTCGACATCGCGTCGGCTGCCACGTTGAAGGGCTTGATCGGCCTGGAGAAGGCTTGCACCAAGTTTCTGGGCTGTCCTTTGGGATCTTTTTTAATTTCCCCTATTATTTTGTAGAGTGTAGAGAACCATAATAGCAAATAGTTTTCAAGGGGTTAAAGGACAACTCAGGTTCGCCCAGAGCAGCGAGGCATTGCGAAAGATGTCACAAAACGGGGAGTTGCCTCCTGCTCTCGAAAAGCTTATCGGGCATCCGGCAACCGCATCTGATACATCGGCACCAAACAAGAAGCGCCGGACCTTTTGAGGTTTCCAGTTTGGGCCTGTGTCGATCTGCCGTGCGCAGTCCATTGGATGTGAGGCACAGCCCGAGAAAAAGAGTGCCGACGGAGCAAAAAACAAAGGATGCCTGCAATTGTGAAGTTGCATGACGATGCACGCAGATATCTACTCAATCTGGTTTTGCCACCGGCCTTCTAAAGCTGATTTCGACCGTGCATTTACAGCTGCTAGCTCAAGCTCGTATGTGCTCTCGATATTGCAGGAAGGAGGTTTCTTTACCCCACGTCTGAGTCCGTGCTGCCAAGATGATGGTCATTGGCATTCACATGCCCTAAACCCTCAAAAGTAGGCAAAATAATAGCCCAAAACCTTTAGAAGGCCATTATTCTACAAGTTTTTGGGGTCCAGGGCAAGGTTAGTGTCAGTGTTCTATTGGTGGCTCAGCAGTTGTAATGCACTACAGTGCTGACTCGAGTGCCCATGCGGCTGCATGTAGCGGGTCTTGTCTCGATAGTTGAATGGAGCAGTCGTTCAATGCTCGGGCCCGAGTATATTATATCTGGATACCAGATTGCACTTCAAGGACAACAGTCGGAACTCCAACCAGTACCACAGCTTCAGAGACGTACGCTCCAGCATTAGGATGTATGGGTCATCTCGTGAGGCTTGGAATATGCCAATGAAGCTGTTTGGAGTGATATCGAGTCAAAGTCAGCCGGAGACTTGATAACATGACCATAGGATCCAAGGGCTCTGGGGGTCCATGTAGCCTATACAGGTACTTTAGGGCCAAAGTAGATATTGCTTGGGCAATGGACCCTTAAAGTGTGACGGAGGACTCCAATATCCCCTGATTAAGGAATATACCATGAATGTTTGTAGGATCATGCAGGATCCCTAATGTGATTTAAGGTATATTGCTTAATTAAGGGGTATTGGAGTCTCCGGGAAGTCTGTGTAGCTCTGAGGTCAACCTCTTCATCGTATGTTGCCGTCCTTCCCGGAGCAGAAGACGCTGAGCCGGGGCCCTCCATGATTCTCATTTCTCCTGGAGACACTCCTAGCATATAGAATGGTATGCTGCACTATACTGTATAGTTTAGTTTAGTTTACTATAGCACAGTATATTTGTTCGGAGCGGAGGGTTGTCGATTTTCCTTGCCGGCTCGCAGTAGGGTCTTTGTGCGGGCCTGAGGCCTTAGGGTTTCTGAAAAGGTTCAAAGTTAGGAGTTGACAACTGCTAGCTTCCGGAGTTCGGAAAATGTGCAGGCCGAGCGTGCTTGCCTCTGACCATACGAGAAGACTAGACTCATCATCCACCCCTGAGCCTGGACTGCAAGAACCGAGGCTCCCTCGGATCCTGCGCTCCCAAGCCCTAAACCTTCAGACCCTTAAGCTCCACTCCCGAATTCCGAGGCTCCGAGGTATATACATTATATATATATATATATATATATGCATCCTTATACCCACAAAAGAGGCTCCAAAGCGATACATCCTAGGTCCTAAGCCCACAGCACCAAAAGCCCCGAAGACTCCCAAGCCCTGAAGCCTGATCCGTGAGACCCCCGAAACGCCTAGAAGCCTAACGGCTTACCTTGAGCCGGAACAACCTACCTTTTAAGGACTTATATAGGAAATCATAATAAGGAACCCTAAATTAAAGGTAGGCTATTCCAGCTTAAGGTAGGCCAGAAGCCAAAACCTTCAACTCTGGTCCCACAACCCTAATCCTTTTACCTACACCTTAAACTATACACCCCAACCCCTAAACCCTAAAACCCCTTCGGAGATCATCCGAGAAAATTGGAACGGTACAGAGAAGATTGCATGGCCCCTGCGCAGGGATGGCACTCACAAATCGAGAAGTGTACCACGTCAAAAACTTAGTAGCTGAGTAGGTAACCTTTAACCTTTTGGGGTGTATATAATCCCACCATACTTGAAAAGGTTGACCCTGAAACCCTAAACCCTAAACCCTTATAGGAACCCTTATAGAACCCTTATAGGAACCCTTGAAGGAACCCTGTTTGGGTACACGGACCCTTATAAGGAAAAGAAACAGACAAACATTCCCTAAACCCTAAACTCTAAACTAAACCCCAACCGAAACAGACAAACATTCAGGCCAAGAGCCTGTCGCTGGCGCTTCGCCGACACCGGCCCCTCAGGAGCCTACCTTAAGGGCCTAGGGTTTAGGGCTTAAGGTTTAGGGTTTAGGGTTTAGGGGTTTAGGGGTTAGGGTTTAGGTTGTAGGGGTTTAGGGGTTAGGGTTTAGGGGTTTAGGGTTTACCTTACGCTACCAAAACCTACTTTTTTGTAGGGTCCCTGTAAATTCCATATTAGGGACAAAAAGGTAGGGTTTGGTAGTTTACGGTAGGGCGTTGGGGGTTTGGGTTATATGATTGTTTAGGAGTTTAGGGTTCATTATGGTTTTGGGGGTTGAGGGTTTTAAAGAGTTAAGGGGTCGTTCAAGGGGTTTAGTGTTTAGGGTTTTGGGTTGGGGGGGGGTTAAGGGCTTTAAGGGTTTAGCGTATTTAAGGGTTGGGTCATTGACGGTGAAGGAGTTTAGATGGGGTATGGGGTTTTGAGGGTTTAGGGACTGAAAGGGGTTTAGGATTTATGCGGGTTTAGAGTTTTATAGGGCTTGACATTTGACGATTTAGGATCCCGAGGGTCTGGATTGGGGACTGGTATGAACGTTTAGGGCTTTTGCAGGTTTAGGGCCACGGGTTTAGCGTCTAAATTGCGGGGTAGGGGTAAGGATCGGAAGTCTAGGCTCGTTGATGATGGGCATTTAGGGTTTGCCTTTTAAGGCCGCTCTGTCGGGACTCTTGTGGTGTTGCACACAAAGCACTTCTTTGTGGGTGCATTGTCGTTGTATTTGCACAGCTGTTTGTGATTGTGTGTGTGCTTTTGCAGCTTAAGCTTGTGAGGCAAGAGCCTTGCACCCATCAGCGAAGTGGGATGGGCCTGTTCGGTTTTCGACTGTGACCTTATCCTCAATTCCGTAAGCTCTTTAGATATATGTATATATATATATATATGTATATGTATATGTATACTATATCCTGGACCATACACGGCAGGCTCAGGAGTCAGGAAAGATATGGAGGCAGCGGACTTGGTTCTGTTTTCAGGGTTCCGAGTTTCTGCCAACTGCAGTGCAGCTCACGCTACAATAAACCATAAATCCGTATGGCCTGCTTGTCGTTCTTGCTACCCTTATGGCCGCAGTTGCTAGCGCCCGGGAGGCTCTGGGGCTTTAGATTCCAGTGTTTCAGCTTTACATAGGGTTGCAGGCAAGTGCAAGTTAAAGCTTATTGTAAGCTTTACACCCCTGAACCCTATATCTTAAGGGCAGGAGGAAAAGAGGGCTAAACAAAAACAAAAAACTAACTAAACGATAGAACCCTAAAGAGTCAAGTCCCTCGAAATTTAGGGCTTCTGAGTGCCGGGAGCTCTGGCACCTTTTTTCTGTTTGCGCGGCCTTCGGCTCAAGCTTCTGAGTGCCGAGGGAGGCAGCAGAGAGAGGTTCCTGTCATTTCTCTAAAGGGTTTTGAGTTGAAGGTTTTGGGCTTTAGGGGGGAACGGTTTAGGGTGTAGGGTTTAAGATTTCGGGCTTGAGGTTTAGGGTTTAGGGCTTGCTATTTTCCCAGTTAGGATTTAATTAGGGCTTATCTTCCGGGAGCACAGCAGCAAGTACAGGCTTTTGAGTTAGATTCGGCCAGAGAAGGTAGAATGGATTCCAAAAGCTTGCAAAGTTTCGCGCGGGTGCAGGGCACGCATTGGGGAACCACTCTTCGGTGTATGGTCTCTTGCGGCCATGCAGCAAGAGGCCTGCTGACGACAGGGTTCCTTAGGGGGCTCTTTACAAGGGGTTTATACGGGTTCTATACGGGGGTTTAGGGTTCCGGAGTACCATCCTGCTCCCTTAAAGGAACGATTATGAAACAATAGTCTATACTGTTTTCTCCTTGGTTACTTCAAAGTGCAGGTTACCTGTGGGCAACTTGATAGCGAAAACTTCGCAGCGGTGTTGTTTCATCAGCACAGTATATACCTTGCAGAAGTTAGTGGGTGGTTCTCTAAATTAGGGTCCCTTTTACGGTCCATAGTTCTCTAAATTAGGTCCCTTTCAGGGTCCTTTTCTCTAAATTAAGGTCCCTTTTAGGGTCCTTTTTATAAGGGTGCCATTTTTCCTTGGGGACTTAAAAATTCGGACTTAGTTCAGAGAAGCTATCCTAATCTTGACTACACCTTAACCCTGAAGAACCCACCCTTTTAAGGACTTATACAAGGAAATCATAATAGGGAAGCGTACACACGCAGGTTTAAGGACTTATATAAGGAAATCATAATAGGGAGCCCTAAAAAGGTAGGTTCTTCAGGGTTAAGGCAGGTTCGGCTTTGAGGGAAGCGTTCACGCCAGGCCAAGTACGTTCATCCCTACCTGGGCGTCACCGCCGTGAGAGGCTTCCAGCGCAGACCACCAAGCAACACGATCCGAAGAAGGTTTAGGGCCAAAGTTTTGGGTTTGGGCCCTCAAATTTGGGTTTTAAGCCCCCGTACGCCCACAAATACTTAAGAAGATCTTTGTACGCACCATTGGTCTTTAAATTTCCGACTGGTCCACACTGATGCTGCCGCCCTTCCTGTTCTTGCCATGGTTACTACTCGCATTGCTCTTCCTTTTTTGGCGCGATCTCGTCTTAACCTATATTATAGGTATGGCTCAACACAGCCCCAAATCCTCTTTGGGTACTGTCTTTGGGCCCCAAAGCCAAAGCCCCAAAATATGAGTCCCTGGAGCCTTAGGGTTAAAACCGCCCTGACCCTAAACCCTACAGTCTAAGCCCGATATACATACATATATATATATATACAAACCCTCAATCCTAGATATGAAGTTTCCAGTCTTGAACCTCTCCCGAAATGGTCTCCTCTGCCTGGCGACTGAGTTTAAGGAGGGGTGGTGTAAGTTTCCAATTTAGAAAAAAATACATCTCGCTGAAGCCGAAAGTTCCAAAGCAGAAGTCACTTCGCCCTAGACTTGTTTTTGATCAAAGCCCTAAACCCTGAACCCTAAAACTCTCGACCCCTAAACCCCAAACCCGCTGACCCGAAAGCTCGAGAATCCCAGAGCCCCATGAACCTGATGGACAAAATCTGGCATGTCCTCAACTGCAGGGTCTAGGCGTAGGGCTTACAGCAAGGGTTTGGGGTGGAGGGCTGCAGGCAAGTTATTCATAAAGCCAGGCAGGGCTTCAGGAATCTAAACGTGGTGTATGGCATATACGGTTAGGGTTCAGGTTTTAATGGGTTCCCTGTGCGGGGAAGGAGGGTATATGCATCACAATCCACCCCGAATTCCAATTCGAATTGAGGCCCCTATGTCCGATGTTTAGAAACTGCAGGGTTATATGTTCATCAACTTCTATACAACCCACAATATGGATACGAATGAAAAAAAAATATATATATATATATATATATATACAGACAACCCAGCAGAACCAGATATGAGGCCTAGCATAACTCGTGTCCTTAAGCCCTAAACGCGAAACCTTATATGAAGCCGTACATAACCTACGCAACAAGAAGCGCCTTGTGCACTCTTCTTGGGCCGATCCCTAAGGCTCCATGTACCCTTATAGTATATACTTAGGCCTTGAAGTACCTATATAGGGACCCCTTTTAAGGCTTAAGTATCTAAGGTAGAAGCCCAAAAGTTGGAAACCCCATAGCCTCAACCCTTAAGAGTAATGTATACGGAATCCCAGGACTATTTGGCCTTAATCCGGTTTCCAACTTTAGGGGGTTTACTGTACTATAAAGGTACATGGAGCCCTGGGGGATGAGGTAGTGAGCAGTGGAGCAACCCCACGCTTCTGAGGACGACTCTTGTCTGAAAGCCGTATATATAGGGTTACTTAGAGGGAGCTATAAGGGATCTCTAAAGGGTTTAGGGTTCAGAGTTTCCGAAAATTAGGGGTACCTAATTTGGGGTCCTTATAATAGGATCCTACTATTTAGGGTACTAGATTAGGGTCCCCTATTTTCGGAAACTCCCGTATGACGCCCAGGATAGGACCTCAGGCCACTAAACCATAAATCGGCCTGAATGAATAGACTTGGGTTTTGGAGAAGTCTATAGTATGATGAGCTCTAAGCTTTCTGAGGCTTGCTATATACAAACGTTTAGGGCTCAATATCTGAGCCTCTTAAC